CAAATCACGAAAAAAATGGTAGTCCGTTGGAGCAAGGTCTGGTGAATCTCAGTCAGAGTACTAAAACAACCGACCTCAAATGTTCGCGAAATTACATCATCGTGTTACAAGCGCGCAAAACCGGATTCATCCCCTAGTTCGCCACTATACGGGACTTAACACAAGAGTTACAAAAAAATCGATGATATTGAGAGAGAAAATCTCCTTCAATTGGAGTATAGCACAATCAACCATTAAAATAATTGTTCCTTATAAAATTTAGGCGGTATTTATAAAAATAAGTCTTCATGCGTGAACAGCCACCATTAGAGGTGGAATATTTTCTTCAAAATAAGTGGGACTACTACTGAGGTACAAAAAAGACATGCAGTCGTATTGAGAACCTCCGCATTTTTTGAAGTCGGTTAAAAAATAATGAAACGTATTTTATGTAAGACATAAGCAAATAAAACAATTGAGTAAGTAAATACAAAACAAACGCGGGAGGCTTTTAAAATAATCACCAGCCTTCCGCGTTGGTTTTGTACTAAGTATTTTTCTTAGTTTTTGTAGTTTTTATTGTTTTCCTGGATCGGCAAAGGATGTGTTGTTCACTTGCACTGAACTAAGTACGTCTTAAACCATTGCAATCATTGACTTACAAATAAATGGACGACGGGTCTAATACAAAAACCATGAAAATAAGTCCCAAGTCAACCTATTCGAAATTTAAATTGTTATGTCATCGCAGTATCGCGCTGTCCGTAGAACAAATGAAGACTAAAGCGGAGTGTCGCGCTCTGTATACGATTTTAGCGCCTTACAAGTGCGGACACTTATTAGCGCGGAACCGACGTCCATATAATTGTAAGTCAATGACTGCAATGCATTTATTTATTTTATTTATTTACACTTAAAGCATTGGTTTAAGACATACATTTACCACTTATTAATATAAGTGTGTAATTACACTATCGTTAATATACTTATACATATACATTAATTTTGCAACATATTAGTTAATTCTTTGGTTTAAAACATACGTACTTGAGTTTAGTGCAAGTGGACATAAAAGATAAAAAGAAAGACATCTTAGTGTTAAAACAAGTGCATTAATTTTCCGATTGGGTTAAATTCTTCATTTTTTTTAATAGCCCCTGCAGGGACAATGGATTGAGTCAGTTCAGAGGGTTTCAATTTAGAAATATCTTTGCTTGAGGGGAGTGCGTTAGTTGCGTCAGTAACTGGTTGCAGTGAGGATGGGACGAACAAATGCGTAAAGAAATTCCGCAGAAAATCTGAAAAACAAAAAGAATAAAATAATGGTAACGTAGTAGTAAATTCTTATGTACCTAGATATTACAGAACATAATTTGATTTTTAATTAGGGACTTAATTATGTATAAAACATATTTTAGTGAATTATAAGGTAATTAAACTATAGGAAACGAAACTATTTTTCCCATGGTCACGGTTGACTGACCAACCGTGACCTTAAGACCTGTAAAGGGCCCGAATCGTCGGTTTGTTTGAAAAAACAAATATACGCGATTTAAATCCGGAAAATTAGTTTCATTTCCTATGTGTAACAATCGCGAAAACCTAAGATATAATTAAACAATGTTTTATTAAGTCTAGAATTAAAAATTAAATTACGAAGTAATTAAAGTATGTTTCGTCCTTTCGACACCATGGACGTTGCAATACGTCCGAAACGTCGAGGTTTTTAAAATATGTTTTATACATGATTAAGTCCCGAATTAAAAATCAAATAATGTGTGAAAATAATTTGATTATTCTGCCCTCCGAACGAAAGACAGGCACAAGCAGCAAATTTAAAATTCGGAGATGATTTTAAAACTGTTTTAGATTTTTGTGACAAAAACAATAGTAAAAATATATTTTTGACATTAGGGAGTAGGGGAGCGGGAGGCACCTTTGAACAGGGGCAGCTTAGAACAAATGCGTCTGTACAGTCAGTTTGAATGAAAATGTACGAGGGTCAAACTGAAAGTTCTTAGAAAATTAAAAACTGATTACATTAGCCAGTTATAAGTTTTATTATATCTTTTCAAAATATTGTCCATTCACGTCAATACACCGCTGCATGCGATGGAACCACTGGGAAAAGCACTTTGCCCACTCGTCCTTAGGGGTCTCTTCAATGGCATCGCGATACGCAGCCACCGCTTCTTCAGCATTCGTAAACCGCTTTCCTTTAAGTTTTTCTTTAATTTTTGAAAATAAATAAAAATCACAAGGCGCGAGGTCGGGGCTATACGGCGGGTGACCCAATAATTCAACGTTTGATGTCGCCAAATAGTCGATCGTTCGCTTGGCGGTGTGCGACGAGGCGTTGTCGTGGTGAAGGAGGATCCTACTGCGAGGTCGTTTCTCTCGAACTTTTTCCAAGACAAGTGGCAAACAATTGGTAGTGTACCATTCTGCAGAAACTGTTTTTTGATCCTCTAACACAATTGTTGCGAAATGACCTATCCTTCCAAAGAACGAGGCATTTTTTTTCCCGCACTTCGATCTCTCTTCACTTTAGTTGGCAACTCCTCGAAAGGAAACACCCACTGAGCAGATTGTCTTTTGGTTTCAGGATCATAACAGTAAATCCAGCTTTCGTCACCTGTTAGTATGTCGAACACAGCATTTGAGTCACCTCCGTTAAATCTTTCAATCATTTTACGGCACCAATCCACACGATGGAGTTTTTGAGCCTCAGTCAAATTATGAGGTATCCACCGGGCGCAAAGCTTCCTGACAGCTAAATGTTCGTGGAGGATTTTGTGCACTTGACTCATACCGATGCCTAAGCTTGTCCGAATCTGCTGATAGGTCACTCTTTTGTCAGTCTCTATCATACGCCGCACAACACAGATGTTATCTTCAGTCGTCGCCGTAGAAGGCCGTCCCTCACGTAAATCATCAGTGAGATTAGTGCGACCACGTTTAAACTCATTAAACCAGTTGTAAACAGTCGCACGAGATGGGGCTTCATCGTGAAAGGCCAATCGTAGTCTATCATAACTTTCTTGTTGACTTAAATGACATCGAAAGTCATAAAAAATCATTGCACGAAAATTTTCTCGTGTTAAATTCATGTTGACGTGACACAGACAATTTTCAATTTGCCGCCAAATCGTAAAACAAATGACAAATGAATGAAATATATACTCAGTAATATTGGCAAAGAGTTCTATTTTCAAATTTAAGAATTATTTTTTTATTATATTGTTTATAAGTGGCCAGTTCTAAGAACTTTCAGTTTGACCCTCGTAGTAGGAATTATGTTTATAATAAGGCACAGTCAGTGTGCGCGCGCCAAAAAGTAAATGAGACGTCGTATTCAGTTTCAGCGTTGAAAAGAAAACTTTCTAAAAAATAGTTGAAACGATATTACTAGAAGAAAATATGAACTTTGCTTGTCGTATGGCTAATTAATAAAAAATAAATTGATAAAATATTAAACCTACAGCTTGCAATATAGTGGTATGCAAAAAAATATTCGTGCGCACAAAGACGTTTTAATTAAATAAAATAACTAATTCAGATTTAGGGCCGTACAAAAATGTTAGTAAACAAAAATAATACTAAAAAAATTTAAAGGAATAAGTTTTAGTGTACATACCTACAATATGCAAATAAAAACTTTTCCATATACAGGTCTCGAATTTTCGATATAATATATATAAATATTTATTTTTAAAAGTTATTTATAGATCCTTTCTTTTTATTCCATAATATCCTCCTCTCATTTGGTTTCCCTCTTACCATAAAGCTATTTTCGTTTTCTAATAGATTACCATAAAGCTATTTTCGTTTTCTAATAGATATATTATTTATAAATGTTTTGCTTCGTTTTGTAACTTACCATTGTATAAAATTATAAATATACTCCTGGGCACATAATTCGAGCCACCTCGCGTTTTTGCCTTAAAGGGCTAGAATACAAAAATAGTGTTATCATCATTGACTTACGTTATCATCGAAGAAAAAGTTTTCCCCGGTTTTGCAAATCCAAATTCCCAACAAGGACTTATGGAAAAGACGTTTGATATACTAGTTTCAAAATTGCATAATAGTTTTCGATCAATCAAACATTGTTTAAGCTTAGGGCACTTAATACCGAAAATGCGTAGTACCTCGAATTATGTGTCTGAAAGTGTATACCTACGCTTATTTGTTATAAATATCGTAATTTTGTTTTAATTTTGTGTAATTTTTCACCTGACACCCGCTTCCCTAATACCTTCTTCTATTGTTTTTTTTATTTTTTACGTCATTAAAACAGTCGCACAAACGTAAGCCGCCAAGTGCCAGACACAAAAAAAAAACGTAAATTCAACTCACCTATGCAGTCGGTGTAAATTTTCTCGACTGAAACAAGAAAAAGGCAGTAACTATATATTTATGCAATGTATAGGTATAAATTCCATATAATTCGTCTGCACATGGTTTCCACACAACATAACCAACAAATTGTACAATTTTGTTGATTATTATTAAATTAGAAGTTGTATTTATAATTCTATGAAAACATTTCACACATGACAACTAACATAGTGTTATCTCAAAATTGCTTTAAGTAATATTAATATTACCTATTTAATTTCAAAGCGACAGTGTTGTCCTGTCATATTAAAATTAAATCGTATACTGAATGACATACAAATGTAGCGAAATTTTGGAGATAAATTATTAATACAGGTGATAAATGAACCACTGACGAATTTAAAGGAGCATACTGTATAATGGAAATAAAAAATACGTATTCGGTTTTTTTTTTTTCAAATACTTAACAAATAAATAAGTTATGACGTCTCAAAGTTTTCCGAAAAATTGGAAACAATATTGACACCCGATGATTAGCAGATGCCGTTGCTATAGCAACAAGAATGGTGAGGGGCAGTGGGCGGAGTCAGTGCGGGAGTTCATGTATTTGACAGACAACAAATAATGTTTGACAGATAAAAAATATTGTGAGTTAACCACGCGTTATAAATTATTGAGAAATATTAACATAAAAAAAAATGGTTTTTTTTGTTTTGTTTCACTAATGTGTTCTATTATTGAATCTTATGCACAGGAAAAAAATGGCCAGTGATTTTTTATCATCTGTATAACGCAATTTTTGAGAAAATACTTATCGCACCCTTAGTAATATAAGGGCACAATCCAAAAAAAGTAGATTTTTGGGAAATCGCGTATTAAGATTCTGGATTCCTACATTACACCTATTTTTTCAAATAACATGCTTATTATTTAAGTTATAAATATGAAATTTGGCAGATTTGTTCTTTGATAAATGTATTATAAATAGCAATAAAAAAAAAATAATATAAATAAATTCTATAAGTTTCAAGCAAGTTAAAAAAACACTTTTAAGTTAGACCCATATAGTACAAAAAATATAACAGAAATATGGAGCTATTTAAGTTTGATCCCATTTATTATTTAAGTCCCTATCAATTCCCAAATTTCCCAAAAATCTACTTTTTTTGGATTGTGCCCTTATATTACTAAGGGTGCGTTATAGTTCTTAAGTGCGATTCAGAATACTAAATCTTGCTCCTTTCAAACACTGAAAATTCAAATGTGGTATTTTAAATCCACTAACATTACATCAGTGTATCCATTGGACGTAGGCCCTGTGAACTAAAGGGACTTCGCTTGATAGGCAAACAGTAGATCGAGGTAACATTATGTAATCATAAGGATATTTACTACGCTACCATCATCTCCTAGTACGTAGCGATCTTGGTAGGCTACAACTAGGAGGCCTAGGTCTGTGTAGGGTCCAGTGTGACTCGAAAACATAGTTACTAATTAGCCCTTGAAAATACTCACATGTCCCCATTTCTTTTTTCTTCGGTTCTAGTTTTTTTATAGCGTCAGACAGTACAGGAACGGAGGTTGGTACAGCGCCCCCTGACAACAAAGGAGAAACTCTAAGTTTTTCTTGCTTTAATAAGACCGACCTGATTTTGTTCCAAAACGGATCGAACCGATCGAGTAGCCCATCCGAGTCTCGAAATCGGATGGGTTTACGAGCGAGAAGATAAACTGAATTCACAACTACGATCGGAAACAGACTTCGGCAATCGTCGGCTTGTACCGATCGGGAGACCCGCCCACAGATACAAAAACCCTGGAGAAATCCATTGATCATATTAGACTTTTAATGTTTACTGAGGTAGTTTGTTGTTAGAAGAAAAACGAATGCGTGGTAGGCTCATCTCTGTATTTTAAAGTTTCTAAGTAGACATAATATCACACTCCCATAACTTGTTTTTTTTTATTATCTGATTAACGTTTTGCAATGTCGGGTGTCAACCTATAAATATTTCGAAAATGTGGATTTTCGAACGAGTCCGACATATCTCTTATCGCGCGGTGTAAAAGGGGCCATTCATTATGCCGTCCAACGCGTAATGCAGGATCATGAATGTAGTCGCAGCGAGCAAACTAACTAGTAATCCTGCAATGCGTCCTGCGAGACTCCATACGTGGGCCATACGCAGGATAGTGTGTGGCGATATAGCGCAGGGCCCCTGACTGTGCTGCGATAACTCCGTTGATCGATTCGATTCGACATCGTACGATTTCTTTTTATTTTTGTTCAGACCACCCCGAATCGAACGTCAAACTGTTATATTCGAAACCGGACCGAAATATAACGTTACATACACCCATACGATTACTCAAGCTTCTCGACCGGCAAAGGCAACAAACTTTATTCAGTTATCGAATCAAAGTTACCGAACGTCCTATTGTTTACAAAGGAAGAATGTAATATGGAAATCTCTTATTATTTTAAATAAAGTCTGGATTTTGTTCAATTTTATTAATTCAATGCTAGACTATTGCATTCCTATATCTTATGCCTTTAAAGTCTTAAAAATGTATATGAAAGGATTTTCATTTTTCTTCTAATCTATTTCTCCGACTAACTCCGTAAACGCTATTGGGTAGCGATATCGTATCCGAACCCGGGGGTCTACTATCGATCTCCGTCCGACACCCGTCCGAAACAATTACTGCCAAATAAGCAATACTTGACCAAATGAAAAGACGCGTGATGCGAATGAAGCTTCATACTTGATACTTGTCTTTTAATTTTGTCGAATATTACTTATTTGACAGTAATTGTTTCGGACGGATGTGAGACGGACATCGAGAGTAGCCCATCTTAATCGAACGTTTTACTCGAATGTTCTGCATAGCTCGGAAAGCGCCATTCGATTCGAGAATAATATCCAATTGACCGATTCCGTTAAAATATCGAAGAGTTCTGGTCCGATATGTACGCAATACAAGAAGGTGCTCCTTGTAAAAATATTGATAACCTCAAAATCACTTTGCACTACGAAAAAACTAAGTAAGAATATACCCACAGAATTTGGGTAAAACTTTATTAAAAACAAAATTAACATTACCTACGTTTTATTAACGGAATACATTTATAATTAAATTTATAATTAATTTAAACTTTAGAACAAATTAATTTGGAAAATATTTCTAACTTGGGAGGAATCCGCGCGCTTTTTGCTCACGGAAATGTTTCCAAGTAAAATCTACTAACGTTCCTATTTGAAATGTGAAAAGTTTCCGATCGGCCAGTTGTGTATCGCAATTATGCGCCTCGACTCAGAAGAGACGCAGTTTCCGATCGGGAGAGGCAATCAAAATCAAGCTGCAGGTGAACATAAATTAATACTGAAATCGTTCATTTATCATAACATATTAATAAATAGATATAATATACAATAGACATACAGTTCAATACAAGTCCAAGTACAAGACCTGACTCTTTTAGAAAAATAGAACGCACACTTTAAGATATAGTTGGAAAAAAGATATTTATACCGTTGTACGCGGATAGGCTCGAAAGCAAAGAATCAAATACGAGAACACTGGCACTAAATGTGGATGCAAAAACTATAATACCTACATGGGGACATTTTATAAAGTACACCTTGGCCAATTTCTGCCAAAAGTAAAAAAAAATCGAAATCAAATAAACAAGATGGCCGTATTACGTAAACTATAAGAGATACATATGATGTGCTTGAAGGAATGTCATAGAGGGTTACAGTAACAGCCTATGTTAAAAAATTCGTAATGGCGGCCAAAGAAAAACTTGCTTCGATCCGGCTGAAAATTGGCATGAGTCCTTAATAATAATAACAAACTAGTGGAGCAATTTCACAAAAATAATTGAATATCATAGTGGTAAAATATCGTGACTTTAAAATACTTAAAAATTACAAAGGAGAAGTTAAATAAAACCATAAAAATTTATTAAATGGATACTCATTCATCATATTATCCTGTAAATGAAAGCATATTTATTACTATACAGTGTCCATTCAGAGTTCCGAATTAAGCAAAGGTGTAACTTAGAAATTTCCATTAAAAATAACGATACGTATTTTACGAGATGCGCAAGTAAATAAAACCTGGACAAATAAGTATAGGTAAATGTCTTAAATTCAACTCACCGAACAAGTCACTGAAAACTGAAACAAAGAAAAGACATCAATAATTGTACTTATAGGTACACAAACGTGCAGCGAGCGCCTAATGAAGCATGCGAACACTTTGCTGATCACTCCTCGTGTACCCTAAGGAAGTCTTCCAATACGCACCACTACAGCATATCTAGTTTTTGTTTATGATGTTTCCACATACTTAAATGTAACAAACCAATTGTACATTTTTGTTAATTACGTAAATATATTATTAAATTAGGAATTATCATAATTCATTCGTTATAATTATAATTCGTTGAGAATATTTAGAGATCAAATCTGGCTATTCGGATGCTGAAAATTTAAATGTGGCGCTTCAATGGCAAAACGTACTTTAAATCCACCACCTTCACATCACTCTATCCGTTGGACATACTGCCCTCGATATTATAACTAAATAACTAACGTAATCGCCATTTTTAGCGAAATTCTGGACTCAGCGAAGCGAGATCTATAAACTCCTCTAATCGATTTTGATTTGATTTGATTTAAAACAACAAAATCAACGTAATTGACATTCTTTTAGATGACTAAAAATCTTTAAGTACCAATATTTCGTAAATTACCGCAATACAAAGGCGTTAGTTATTAGAAAGAGGACAGCTGAGCTGGAGGTCGGGATACCTACCTACATACGTTAAACACATTCGTGCGAGCTAACTAACGTACTATGCATATGCCGCTGCCCTAAACATAATTTGTAAGTGATGTGCAACAACGTACTATTACGTCGTTTAATTTCTTTTATGTTAATAAAAGTGGAAGTAAATTAATTTGCTACTCCGCGAAACCCAGTGAAAGTTAAATCGTGCAAAATAGCTGTACTTGTGTTGAATATTTTTCCATGCAGTTATTTTTCCCACCCTCCCTCCGCATAAGATTAATAAAAAAGAAGCCGAAGAATTAATTTATTTCCATTTTTATTAACATGGACTTCCGCAAAGTAACGCCTGAATCCATTCATTAATTGCTTTTATTTCATCGATGAACATAAGAGGACAGTATTTGGCCATATAAAATCTTAATAGTAACGTCATTGCTCTACAATTTATCAAAATATTGAATCTCTAGCGACACACTATATCGACACACAGGCTAAGTAAGCAAAGCACTACTCGCACATACTCGTACCTACCAATGATCGCTGGCATAAACGCGCAACGTAGGCGGCCGGTATATGTATAGATGATAACGTTTATTGACGTCAGTATCATTATTTGTTTTATTAATTTAATAGTCTGTAGAATAAATGTTTATACAGTTTGTATTAATTTATGACAAAAATATCGGCCACAGCTATAGCGCATCAATCGGCAAAAGCAAGATGCTCACGCGAATGTGTTATGTAATCATAAAGATACTACTTCTACACTACTATGACCTCCGTAAGGCGGGTTCTATAAAGGCTGCCACTATGACTCGAGTACCTCAGATCCATAGTGTATATAACCAGAAATAGAGCCGAAATGTCATTCAATTTGTTTGAAAACTATTGTGCCAATATCATTACGGTGACAACTGCGCTCCGATTGGCCAGCCCGAATTCGAAACAATTGATAGGTGTTGTCAATTATTTCACTTCAAATCGTCCAGTTTAACTTGAGTTTTGCTATAATGGACGAAAATTGTATTTAATATTTAATTACCGATGAAATGCAATTCCGTTCGTTTTGTAGTTAGATGTTTTGCCGTTTTTCCCACACCACCGAATGGAACAGACCCTCAATGTAAGAGATATTATCTTTATTACAGTAAATACAAAATATTTTTGGAATATACTGAGACGAACACACAGGTCAGTTGTTGGCACTGTACTATTTCAGCTTTCTGATTTGTGATTTCAGCGGAAACGAGAGCTGATATTTAAAAGTGATGTAAGGCCCATTTGGTTGATGAGTTGCCAGGGATGGATGGCCCTTATTTCATCTCTATTTCTGGTTATAAACTCGATGCTCAGCTCCTAGTGTGACTCCAAGTATACTAGGTAATTAACCCTTCTAATTACTCACATGACTTTTTCTTTTCCTCTTTGTTCGGTTTTTCTGTACTCTTTTCGGATTTCTTTTCTTCAGATGGTACAGGAACGGGAGCTGGTGCAGCACTCACTAACAAACAAAGAGGGCTTAGTTTTTCTAGTTTTAATATAGTGTGACAAAAACTAATAATGGTAGTAACTTCACACGTAGCACATTAAACAAGTAGATATAAAATACATAAGTCAGAGTTTAGTATCATACAATAATAAAATAGATAAAACGTCTGTAGCTCAGTACAAGAGCGAATCTTTTTACAATCGCCTTTCGTAGCAACTTAACAAGCAGTAATCATACTATAAATAATTGCTTTTTACTATACATTCAGTAGCAGTAGAGCTCCATGTTCGTCCAGAGAGTTCGTCCAGGGAAATACTGCCACCTTATCTATTTCTGCCATCTAGCAGTAATGTGAACATTACTGCGTTCCGGTTTCGAAGGGTAAGGGTGCTGGTGAAATTACAAGCACATGGGACTTATCAACTTATGTCTCAGGATGATGGGCGCAATGGCAGTGCTCTTCAGATCTTTGTGATTTAAAGCTCTGACACTGCAACGGTTTTAGGACAGGTGTGTCGCTGATGACGCAAGTCGTGTGGCTGATGGTCCACACGACTTGTTTGCCCCGTCACTTAGTATTATAAAAAAAATAATGAAATAACAATATTAACGAAATGGTAACACCGGTTTTCAAGGTTTGCTTCTAAGCAACGGCCAGCTAACATTTTGTTCATGGATTGTGTAGATGTCTGTGAATGAATTACCCTCAGATCATCTGAGGAATTACCATAATATTCCAACTGGATATAGCAGTCATGATCATAAATCAGAATAAAGCAGAATATCAGTATGCGTTGCTCTTATTGAGCAGCAATTACGCTGCGAGCTTTTATTGTAATGCCTTACAAATTTCTGTGTTTGTCCTTTTTGTTATATGATCTTTTGTTTATTTAAATTTAAAAATAATGATTTTTCTTTAATGCTTATATCGTATTTATTAAAGTTTTTTTTTGTACTATTGTTTTTTTCGACTATATTTTATTTTTGTTTATGTGTATCGTATGTGTGTGTTTTATGATAAATAAACCATCCATAATTTAAAAATTCTAATTTTACTTTCTAGTAGTTAAGCTTTTATTGTCCTTTATACCTTACCTATATATTCTCTAAAGTAAATAAATATTAATGTAAACCATCTCGGTCTATCTATTTATAAATGGAACCTTACGGGAAAGTAAATTTTTGATTAGCGAAAACAATCTACCGTCTAGTCTGTCGGAATAGTCGCGGGGAACTAAAATTCCTGTTTGCGAATTGAAAATTATCTTCTCGCTAAAATTGGTTTTCGTAAGAGAGATCCACCCTCCGTAGACCCACTAGCTGAATTATGGTAAATTTCTAAAATAGTATCAATTAATTAGTTTTATTTTTTTTCATTTTATCCACTACATGTTCTTCTTATTATTATTGTTTTGACTTCTCCTCATTGGGGTTTGAGCTGACAATAATGTTTTTATATTTTATAAGCTAAGTAATGCTGAGGAAACTTTAGTATAGTTGTTTTGGAATTACCAAGAAACAATTTCTGTTTTCTACATTTTATTAGAAAAGTTATTTAGGAAAACATAGTTTCTTTTAGAATCTATTTTATAAGCAGTATATTTTTTATGTTGTAGCTGACGGTGGATGTTTCAAACACGCAAGATGTATGACACCAATTTTTGTCCGAAACTTAGTACCCAACTTGAAGTTTTAAGTGCTTGGACAAACAGACAGGAACCATGTTGTTTAGTAATCTGTGCAACTGGTTATAAAGTTTTTCAAAAGTGTGCAACTTAAAAGGTGTGAATAGTAGAGAAGTCACTAATTTATTTCACAAAACGTAAGTGCGACTTTTACTTACCTTCATTTTCGGCCACCAGCGCCAGCGTCTGAGAAAAGAATTTATAAGGTTTTCAAATTTACCCGACGCTATGTATCTGGCGCATCACACTGTATAAAGCGCCGTAAAACATTAAGGCTAGCCGCTTTGCAAATCGGCGCTGTATTATAATACGGCTACCTCGTGTTCAACCAATCAACAACAATTGCCATTCGCCTAAAAAAAAGTACGCCGCATTGTAATAGTAGGTACTGTAGTCTAGGCTCTACTCTATGAGTAGAACTACTGGCTGAGTGAATATAGTTTTGTATTTAGAATGTGTTTGAAAAAATGAAATAGAAGAAGAGAACATATTGAGAGTTCAAGATGTAACCTAAAAGTGAGAATATGTAAAAGGTACAATAAATGTCGAGTTATGAACTTAGAATAATAACGCATAGAAACCTAGCCCGCACACGCTAAGTGAGGCAAGTTAAAGGCTTCCCAACGGGCTCCCAGGAGCGCGCGGGCTGTTAGTGCTCAAGGTCAAATTGCACCGCGAACAGCTCCAAAATTTTTTGCTAAAAATGACGAAATGTGCGGTAAATGGGTGTAAAAATAGAACAGACAAACATAAAATAGACACTAACATCACATTCCACAAGTAAGTAATGCGTTTCAACTCATATTTTTATGTAATTATTCACTAAAATAGAAAAATAATTTCGCGGCAACAAGATACGAAAGTGTTGCAAAGTAACCAATTTTTTTTCTCCCCATTTTGCTATTCTGTATCAAAATAATTATATTACATAAATTTTAGTGGTGCCTGTAATTTCGATTTATTTGCGCATCTTGAACTAATATTTACTTGAATAAACATTAAATGTTTTCGTTAACTCCTGTAAGTGATTGGGACACTTAATTATTTTATAATACTTTTAACGGCTCTGCGTTCATGCTTTATTGAATAATTATTTATTTTAATTTTATTTGAATTAGAGCACATATTGCAACAAATTTACAGTATATATTCATTTCTACTATAGTGTTGGCACCACCAGTACAACTTTGATAGCTTATTATATGTCTTTCTTTTCGTAACTCAAGCGAAATATTTTATATTGAAATATTTTATTTTCTTAAAAGGGGAGCATTCTTAAGCGATTTTTTAATCTATTTTAACAGTTATTTTCTTTAATGTTTGCTTATGGCATTTTCGGTTTTAGGTTTCGAATATGGCACTTATTTCTAAATCCAAGATGGCGGGCGCGATTTTTCGAATAATGGCAACTTGGGTATCGTTTTCGAGATGTTTGGGAATGTTCAATACAAATATGGCACTCATTTCTAAATCCAAGATGGCAAACACGACAGTTCAAACAAAAGCAATATTCGTAATGAGCACCCCCAAATACCTCGAAAACGATACCCAACTTTCCATTATTTGAAAAATCGTGCCCGCCATCTTGGATTTACAAATAGTGTCATATTCACATTGAGCATCCCCAAATACCTCGAAAATGATACCAACATAGCATTTTTTGAAAAAATCGTGCCCGCCATCTTGGATTTAGAAATGAGTGCCATATTCGTAATGAGCATCCCCAAGTACCTCAAAGTCAAAGTCAAAGTCAAAGATGATTTATTCCATAGGTAAAATAAATTTACACTTGAAAACGTCACATTTAAGGTACTGCTCGTTCACTACGCTGACCTCCCTGAGAAGAACGAGCAAGAAACTCTAGGGATTGCTCTTTTCAAATA